AACGTGACGGGACAATGTGTGTAGATAATGAGTAATTGAATGTATGCGTACAAAATATTGTTGGCCACGTGAAACGTGAGCGTTTGTTATAGAGCGACTGTTGAAATTAAGTGTATCGTAAGTTGTATTCGAAAAGAATAAACCAGTTTTGTTTAACAAAGGACTTGTGTCGCTAAAGTTTCGTCGGAACGAATTTACGGAAAATTAACTAACAAAGGGAGACGTAGAAATATTATTTTCTGATATATATATATCTTTGATTTTATCAGAGAATTTTTTTCAAAGGAAACAAGGATAAATTCTACTGACACTTCAGTATTGTAATATATTTCTAGATTTTCAAGTTTAACGAGATTAAATTTTATCTTGAACTATTGAAAAATAAAATGTTTCACAAAACCATGATTAGGATATCTTGTCACTAAAACACCCTTTCCGAAGTCAACATCGTGTTTCAGTACTAATTTTTGAAAATATATAACTTGCATGTTAAATGTTAATTGCTGTATTAGTGTATATAGATAATATAGTAATATTAAAGAAAACGTATATAGAACTGTTGCTATTGGTAAGCTCTGTGTACTGTTTCCATGAATACTTTACTTAACTTCATGATTTGTACAGACCGTATGGGCCTACTTCAGTAGTTGTCTTTACACATTACTTCTGTAGGGTATAGTGTATTTTCCTTACTAATAGTAATACTGTAATAAAATTAATAGTATTAGTAGTATTATTACTTTTGAAATATAAAAAAAAATACTTGTAAATACAAGTTCTGAGCAGTGTGTCACCTTAATATCAAAAACAATTTATTAATAATAAATATTAAATATAGAAACATTATATTTCTACAGCGTAGGCCTGTGGTATGCAGAAACTGAGAAAGTGAGAAACAGATTATTGACTAATTGCTAATACTATAACTTGTAAGAGGAATATTAACAGTTATACTAATAGACATACTCATAGAGTTAGACTATTAATATTATCTTTACTACAACTAGTACAGTAGTACTAGTAGTATCATTGCTATCAGTATCACATCAGTGAATGTAAGTTTAATCTTAAGCATATTTTGTTTGAAAAGAATTCTTAACATGACCTTATTTACAAGGACTCTTAGGCTAACTCGTACAAGTTGTGATTTGACTGTCCATTCATCGTCATCCCACACTGGAAACAAATTAAAAGTTATGGAAGTATCCAATCTGACAGAGAACAAAGCTGTAAAGCGCAAAGCAAAGGAGAATGTTTTGTCGACTACCTATAAGAAGAAGGTATACAGACTAATGTGTTAATAATTTTAAATAATGTTGAAGGTACAACCTGTATTCCAAAATTATATTAATTAGTTTGGTGCATTTAAATGGATAACAATGCATAATAAGCTTACAAAGAATGTGGTTCAGATAAATGTTTGAACTTATCAGTATAGTACTACTGCTTACTAATGAATTCAATTCAACAACTAAAGGTATAGACAATAGTATTTAAGAAAATTAATGAGGAATAAGTTAGATGAGGTGATTGAATAATTTATTAATTTAATCAACATTTCCACATTTTTTTAGCATATTACACCTCAGTAATGGGCAGTGAACCTAGAAAGTGATGAGAAATAACAATGGAACATCTCACGACATTATCCATCATGCCTGATATTTACTCTTTTTTTTTTTTTCTCATATTTGTGACCTTTTATTTAACAGTGTAGGAAATTTTGAGAAACAACTGAAAAAAGAATAAAGAGTATTATGTTTAAAAGCTTTGACATGTTGAGAGCCTTTTTGTTATTGATATTTTGGTAGCAACTTTATTATCCAAACCATTTAAGTTTATTTACTAGTAACTTCACATTTCATATGTGCAATTCAGGTTGTTTGAAATATCTAATGTAATACAGAATCATGTCATTTTAGGTAATGTTCTAGGCACATAAAGTGCCTTTTGTTATAAATATTTATTAAAAATTGTGTTCTGGTAGATGTTCTTTAGCTTTTACTGAGAAATTATATGGATATTATACCAAACAATTTCTAAATTACATTGTACATTAATGAAGGTAAAAGTCCCATGAAATGTCATTTCTATAAAGGAAGTTTAATGTCATTAGATTTTCACACAATGATAATTAATGAAGTTTATGTTGAAGGTGGGACTTAAAACTAATGATAATTTGTGTTGAAATAGATGGTATGTGATTTTAATATTTAAAAAAATATATTCATTTACAGTCAAATTTTTAATAAATTTGATAAGTTGATATGATGTAAAAACATGATTGTTCACTGTATAATTATAAAACAGATAAAGTTTTCAAATAATATTATTTTAACTTAATTTCACTTTAGGTGAAAGGGAGTAACAAGCCATTTCGACCTGGATTTGGAGAAGAGAAATTTGATGAAACAGATTACTACATTGAGAATGGTAATGTGTAAATCAAAAGACATTTGTATAGTGCATTTACAGATGAAGCTTTTTTGAATTTTATTCGTGGAAGTTTTATTTCAATTCCATATTTCTTTTTTTAACCTTTTTTATTATAAATTGCTGTTTTAAAAAATTTTGATATTTCATAATTTTATTAAAAAATGAGAGGATTTTATTTAAAAGGTTTTATAATTTATTACCTTCAGATTCGTTCCTTTGCATCAAAAACTGTTCCTGCATTTTTCAGGTTTGCGGAAGGTTTATCCTTATATATTTACATATACTTCATACTGTAAAGGTCGATGGGCAGGAGAAAAACTTATGGATATATATGCTCGAGAATTTAGAGCACACCCAAGAGAAGAATATGTAAGTTCAAAAATCTTTAATAATTTTTGTAAAGTGAACTGAGATGTTGTGATGTGAAATATTGCTATGATTACACCTGTTACAATCATACATGGTTTTTAAGATTTGAATAAACTCTGGTAACTTAATATAAACAACTAGCTGTGTAAAAAATAAAATTTCATGGAAGTGTGAATAGTTGCTCGTGTTTCTTCAGTCTTTTCCTTTCACAAATAGATATAAATTTTTTATTCATTGGCTGAATAGAATACAAAAATAGTACTTTGTCTTCCAGTAGTCTTGTATTGTTAGTTTTTCTTTGTATTACTAGTAGTTGAAGTAAGACAATGAAATGTATCATTTATAATTACAATGACAGTAAAACCTAAATAGGTTTCCAAACATATGGGAAAAGACAAAGGGGTGTCATTTAGGCTTAGCTCCATATGTCTAGTTAATAAAGCTCTTATCTGCAATGAGGAGAGCATGCTGTAGTCTTTACTGCAAAGTGTCCTGTTACATATGTTGTTGAATTTAAGAAAATACTGGAATGATTTCTATTGATTGGTTTGGGATTTGATTTGATTTTAGCTGCTAATGGCATACTGTGGAACTGATAATAAATATGTTTGTAATAGGTACATGTAAATTTTCAATATATTTTCTTTATTTTAAAACTTGAAGAACCTAAAAATGATAAGACTATTGGTTAGAGGTAATTTAGATACATCAAACACTGGTGCTTGGTTGTTGTTCACATTTTGTAGGTAATTTTTCTTGATTTTGGTAATAAAGTTTTCAAGAAACAAATTCTTCTTGAGATAATTCTTGATGTTATTAAGTTATAGATGGAACACCAGATTTATATTTGTTATTTTAAAGGCTCTATAAACAAACATAATGTGGTCCAAGCAAAAATATTAGTGTTTATGAATTTCCTAATTTTTTCTGAGCATGACATGTGTTTAAAGGCCCCTAGGGAGAAAGTTAAAATAGTTTTTAACAAAATAACACATTTTGAATCTTGTAACTTCAATACAAATGTTATTTTATCAATTTTAACTAATTATGTTTTCTCAACTTTGATCATCATTGTATGATGTAATTGCCTGTATCTCAGCTTGGAGAAGTTATAGGCTAATGATTTAAATATTTATAAACCAGTATGGCTTCTGGTTCAGTGAAGACTCATGTAGAGAACATAACAAGGTGATAAAAACTTGGTTTGGTGATATGATGGAAGAAGAAAAGATATTTCTGAAAATATTCCACCACCATTATAGTCTTGATTTTATTTCAAAGTTTGCTTTATAATATTTTTGAATCATGATGTTGCATTATAATAGGAAAATAAATGTTTCTCATGGAACAAGATAAGGTAGGCTTAGTTAGATCATTTTGCACTCGGCTGGATCAAGTTGTTTTTTGCTAACAAGGCTGTTGTTGTTTGTACATATTTACAGTCGTCCTTATTGACAAATAACTTCTTGAATGGGCATAGGAAATCACTTAAAAGAAATAAAAAAATATGTAAATTAATATAAAATGGGTTCAAAACTTATTACATATATTAAATGAAGCCTTCTGCTGATTAACAATAAAAAAGTCAGGTTTGTTTATAATTTGAGGTAGAAAAAGTGTTATATTTACTGTATGCTAGGTATCATAAACATGGTGAAACTATGTTATCTGTCTTTCTAAACAAAATAAAGCTAAAATTTACAGTTTTATAAAATAAAAACTATAGGAAAGTTTAAAAGAATTTAGGAAGACAAAATTCGATAATTAAAGTCTACAGAAAAGGTAAACATTTAATTGTTTCTTAAAAGAAGATATCACAATAAAATCTTTTCAAATTTTCAAAGCTGTGAGCTTGTACAAATATCACCTAAAAATAAGTTTGTTCTTTTTTCATATATGCCATGTCTCATCTGGAAGTGTTTTTAGATTGAGTATTTGAGAATTTCTAAAGTTTCTTCATGTTATTGATAAAAATCCTGAGATCTGTTATTCAGACTTGCATAGGAATTTTAACATGCATATTTTAAATTTTGTTTATGTAATTGACATCCTAAACAGATATTCCTGAATAACTTTACCTTTCATGAATCAGTAGAGGGCTTTATTCCCTGCTACATTACTCATGGCTTCCTTTAAAGCTTATTATAAAAACAAATTAATAAGTGCTACATGTTTTAAATCTTTTTTGATTTCTCAACACAACAATTTGCTAGTTTACTCACAAATTAGTTTCATTTATCTCTAAGATGGTACTTTTCAAAAAAATGTATAATCTCGTAGGGATACCTAAAGTTGGAATGTTGATATTATAACTTTTGTTCTCAGGTAAAAGCTGTTCTATCAGGGAGTGTAACTGTGAATGGAAAAATGGTGGGGACAGATTATGTTCTGCGGGATAATGATTTGATAGCTAACAAAGTACACAGGTAAAGTACTATACTAAGTGATGAAGGATAAAGTAAGATACTTATTCATACATTCCAAAAATTAACCACAATAAGAATTATAAGCTAATAACTATGGTGTTGTATTTCATACTTCTTAACCATTTAAGTAGTAATAATTCTTTTCATGTAAGTTTGTAAAATTTACTGTTATTTTCAAGTTTTAAGGATAGATTACATTTATTTTTACTGTTTTGAATATAATAAATGTAAAAATAATCATATTAAATCTTGCATCGAAGTGTTTAATCTTGTGTTGTATGTTTTTTTATCATTATCTTTCTAAAGCTATAGATAAGATTATATAAAATAATAGAACCTTACTAGCAGTATTAGAATGTTTAGAAGAAAGTGTAACTAAAAGGTCAAGGGAATTTTTTGAGATTAGTAAATGAAAGAGATGTTAATAACTTTGATAATAAAAGAATATGTTTTGAATGTATCACATTTTTGTTTGAGTTTTTAAGGCTTGAGTCCTGAGAAACATATTTTAAATAATTTACAAAATAATACATTACTTGTATTATTTTGTCCAAGGCACTTATGAGTTGAACAAAATATTATGATACAGAAAGTTTAAGGACAAATAATATTTGTGTAGGCAATATTTAAATTCTGAACAATATCTAAAACATGCTACACATTATCATCTCTAAAATCAGGTAATTTTAAAGGTAACAGGAATAACTATTAAATATATATGTTTGATCTAAAGGAAACTTTCATTATATGCTCTAGCAATTCTGCTATTCATTTCTAGTTTTCTTTCAATAATAATTTTTTTTGGAATAAATATATATATTAAAGAATAAAGCAAACAAGCTTCTTGAACAAGCTTTCACATGCAACATACTTTTTTAGTTTTGGCATTGCCTGTTAATCTTAATTTGATGAATAATGTTTGGAAGGAAACAGTGGCTTTATTGGAAAGATAATGATTTCTTTGTTTACTATTTTTGACATACTGTGCATTGCATCTGCCTGTTTGACTGACCTTGTATCTGTGAAGCTATACATAGTGATCATTACTATAATTCTAAATTTACTACTTGTACCTTCACGAAACTTAGCAAGCTTTTTGTAAATGTTACAATTCCGTTGGGCACAAAAAATCAGATTTTTGCATAATTTCCCCTGTTTCATGTAGTTTTGTATCTTCACAGTTTTCAATTTGAACCTTTTCATATCTATTTTCTGTAAGTTTATGGTTTTATTAATGTACTTAGTATTTGCTTCAGCATTAATTCTCCCATTAAAAACAATAATCACAGTGCAGGATAATTTGTGACAAACAAAGTTCATGACTCGTGTGATCTTTGCAAGTGCACACCATAACTGAGCTTGGCTTCACTTTTTTTTACTAAGCTAGCTCTTCAAATAAAAATTATTTAAGCTTTCGGATGTGTATCTTAGGACACAGAACATACATCAAGTGCTAGAATGGAAAGCCCTTAAGCATTGTTTTTAATTAAACTACAAATAGGTTTAAAAAATTTCCATTAGACACTTGGAGCTCAATAATCATGCTTAAACTGTTTGAGGCAAACTGTCTACAATTGTGCATCAAAAAGAAACAACAATTTGTTGATTCTTTTAGGGGGGAAAATTCTCTTTCGATTGGTTATAAATTTGCCTATAGAAGATTGTTTGTAGCAGTGACATGATGGGAGGAGACTTAATGGTGGGTGTCACAGAGTTATGTCTCAGTTCCAAAATGATCTTACCTCTCTTACAAAGCTATCTCAATCCTTGTTTGCCCTATAAGCATTGCTAAAAAAAATATTTTTGCTGCCAGCACACCATTCTTTATACCCTATCAGTTTCGCACCATTTCTGAACATGTACATTTGATATGAATACTCTCCACCAGTAGTATTGCACCATCTATAGTGGCACAGCTAGCTCCCTCTGCTATTCCCACTCAGGCTCTCTTTTTTGATTGGCATGACTTTGTTTAGATGTGTGCTTAAACTTTCCAAGTGGGACTAAGATTTTTGCTTATGATTTGTTGCCGTTTCTGACAAAGTTTATTCACCAATTTACTAATTTTTTTGTTTGAATTTCAATTGTTTACAGAATTTAGCATTCAAAACAATTTCTAGTTTCCAATTATTACTACGTGTTCTTTGTATAAAATCGAGGTTTAATGTGCAGGACAATGAAATTACCACAGCAGTAGATGACACACATGGCACAACTTCCCAGGATGTGGGGTTGACTTTATCTGTTGAGGAAGTACAAACCTTGGTATGCAGAGAGCTAGAGTCTTAGGTTTGGCTGGCGAATTCTTCTCTTTTTTCCAACTGAACCTGTTTCTGAGGAAGACTACCACCCAGATGAAGAAAATTGGGACTCTATTTTTTTGGCACCTTCTTTTTTGGTCCAATACATTCTACACCCAGTCAGGAGATTTCACCTCCCACTCCTTTCTTGCAACTGGTTAATCAGGTATGTCATATTTTGAGTATTTCCCCCTATGGCCATGACTCTTCACCTTCTTTATTGGGATTATCGTATTGTTCCTCCTTCACTCAACATAAGTGTTCAGATATTTTCTGACCAACTACAGTCAGGTGTAGGCATGCTCCGTCACCCTTGTTTGTTGGACCAATATGCCTTGGCTTATTATGGAGCCTCAGATCCTTTTATGGATTCTCTTCATTTGGAACCTTTCCTTCTCCTGTGGGGCTCGAATTCTGGCACTTCAGTCCACTTTAATCAAACTCAGTTTTCCAGGATTCGTCTTCCCCTGACCTCCATTTTATGTTATCTTTCTTCCCTCCAATTATTGTCTGAAGCATTTTGCCAATCACCTGAAGCCTTTGTAGATGAACTCGGGACCCTTCTATGAACCACTATGGCTCACTTATTGCCATTCACCCTTTCTCTCAATATGTAGCTGTTATGTTGTTGGGATTTATTAGGGAGGGATGTATTACTTGAGGGAGTGTGTCTTCCCCTTTCCTCCCTGTGGAATTTCCATCAGGCTCCATGTGAAACCATTTTTAGAGGCCCTCCAGATTCCTTGGAGTCCCAGATTAATGTGGCTAGGTTGCATTCTTTCTTATCCTTCCTTGCCAAGTGGTTGTCTCATCCTTCCAGAATTCTCCTGTCCTGGTTTCCTGCCCTGATGCTTCCACACTCTGACCCTTACCTTGCTCCAGGCATTCCAAACCCTATCCTTGTATTTTCTGCACCCATTTGACCAGAAGCCAGTGTTAGCGGTGACACGACGGAGGTTCCCAGTCTGGTGGGGGCCAGATTGCTCCACTTTTCAGCTGTGTGGTGGCACTTGACGACAGATCTGAGGGCTCTGATGTATGGTTTCTGCCTTTGGTTCTGGTCCTCACCCCATTTCCCTTTCACTAATTTACTTTCCTCCTCCTCACGATCATTCCTCTCTAAGTCGTCTTTCCAAAGCCATTCAAGACCTACTGCACAAAGGAGCTATTGAGCAGGTGTTACCCACTCGACTGGGGTTTTACTCCCATCTCTTTGTTGTCCCCAAGAATATGGGTGATTGGAGACCAATCATAGACCTGTTCTGGTTGAATTCCTTTCTGGACCCCACTCGCTTCACTATGGAGTCCTACTTTTCACTTCCATGGGTGTTTTCCCCAGGACTCTGAATAACCAAATATGACATGAGGGAATACTGTCTTCACATCCTGATTGTTTCAGAGTCCAGTTCTTTTCTTTGAGTTATTCACAAGGGTCATGTGTTCTAGTTCAGGGCACTGCTGTTTGGTCTCTCTTCGACTCCTTATGTATTTGGTCGAGTGGTTTGCACGTTTGCTCGTCACCTTCACTCGTTGGGACATATGGCTCCTGCTTGTCTCTTCCCATGCTCAGTCAGATGATCACAAATGTTTACTTCTCCAGGAAGCAGCACAGATGGCTTTTCTGTTCAAGTTGGAGAAGTCTATTCTTAACCTCCACATAATACCTGGTTCATTTGGAGGTTTACTTCAATTCACACCTCAGACGAGCCCAGCCTTCTCGTCTTCATCTCAGGGATATATAGGAGACAGTCTTGAAGGCCCTTACCTCTCATTCTCTCACAGTGTGAGAAGTTCTATCTCTTTTGGGGATATGGGCTTCCTTGGAAGCTCTCATTCCCATGGGCCAAGGTCACATGTTCACTTCAGTGGAACTTTGCCCTCAATCCCTTGGACCATGCTGCTACCTTTTCTTCCGTGATCATGGCCATTTTCCTTGGTGGCTCATGACAGGGATCATACCATGGTGGGGGTTCCCATTTTTGCACCTTGTTCGGAGTTCCATCTTTTCACAGATGCATCTTTGGTGGGTTGGAGGGCTTTCCTCAACTCACAGGAGGTTTCCTCGAGCTCTTAGCAGTTTGTTGAGATTTGACCCATTTCCATCCACTCCTGAAGGGGGTGGGTGGTTATGGTGCACTCAGACAGTTCCACTTTCGTCAATTATCTTGCAAATCAAGGTGGAGCAAAATCTCTGTGTTTTTGGACTCTGGATCTTCTTTTCTAGGCTCACGATCACTACATTGTGGTCTTGACTTGTCATGTTCCTGGTGCTATGAATCTGGTTGCAGATTATTTATCTTGTCCCAACCAGGTTCTCCCCACAGAGTTGTCCCTTCATCCACAGGTCTTTCAATGAGTGTGTTCTTTACTGGGAACACCTCATATCAATGCATTTGCCACTCACTGGACATCAAACTTCCTTCCGTTTGGTCTCCCGTTCCACACCCATCAGCTCTGGCAGTACATGCATTCATTCAGGATTGGAGGGGACTTCACATCTATCCTTATCCTCCAATCTGACTCCTATCTAGAGTTCTATCGCCATCCAGACCACTCCTTGTCTAGTCTTGCTTGTTGCTCCACGTTGGCCTACTCAGCCATAGTTCCCTCTGCTTTGGCCTTTATTTGTGCAACATCCCCTGCCTTTACCTTTGTCTTGGTTGCTCCTCTGTCAACCTCAATCAGACGTTCATCCCAATGTCATCAAACTCTGTCTTCACGATTGACTTTTGTCAGGTCCATTGCCTCAGTCCAGGGCCTGACTTCTCGAGTTGCATCTTCCCTTTCCCAAACCATCAAACCTTCATTCTTGACAATTTACCAAAGGTGTTAGTTTACTTTCTGACTTTGGTCTGTTCACTGTGGCTTCCATCCCTTCTGTCCATCGGTCTCTCAGTTTTCCCAATTCTTCACCTGGTTGTTTGATCAGGGTTTATCTGTTTCAGTTGTATTTAGTTATCAGGCTACCCTGTTGTATTCCTTCCATTTCTCTTGGTTTTGAAAAGTTTTCTCCTCCCCCTGTTATTTCCCTCTTTTTCAGTTCCTTTCATATTGTCTGTCCTCCACATTCCTTTGTTTTACCGGATTGGGATCTTAATGTGGTCCTTAATGCACTTTCTCATTCTCCTTTTGAAACTCTTGCTACTTCTTCCTTGTATCATGTTTCCCTTAAGATCTATTTCCTCCTCCGCTTTGCTTGTGGTCATCATCAATCGATTATTTATGCCATTAATGTTTCCCACACCCATTACTATTCCTCTTATGTTTTCCTCTACCCTTACCAGTCCTTCCTCTCCAAGACTTATGCTGCCTGGGAAGATGGTGTGGCTTTCTCACCCATTTCTTTACCCTCAGTTTCCCAACTGTACTCTCATTGTGATCTAGGTAGACATCTTTGTCTAGTTCGCCCCTTGATGTGTTACGTGGCTCATACTGCCTCCTGTTGGAGTTTGCGTTCCCAACTGTTTAAATCCTTCTGTCTCCCGTGTTATGTCACCTGTTACCTTCACTGGTTGGATTCGTCAACTCGTAAGGCTGGTGTATTCGGACTTGTCCATGGAAGGTTGCTATCTCTATAACGTTTCTTCACATCAAATTCGTCATGTTACTATGTCTTTAGCTTTTCACCTTTGCTGTCTTTTCAAGGAGGTCATTCAGGCTGGAATGTGGACTACTCCCAAAACCTTTGTTGCACATTATCTGTATGACCTGGCTGTTTCTTCCTCTGGCATTATCCACATGTCCAGTCCATTCACCTTTGACTGAGGTAAGTCTGATCACTTGCTGTCTTTTATGTTTTCTTTTTAGCTCCCTAATTGTAACATCTTTATGGATCCCACCTTATGGTGGGAATTGCCTGGTCAGGTATACTTTACCTCAAACCCGCACTAGTTTAGAGTAACTATATAATGCTCACTGTTGAGATGGGATGTTTCTGTCAGACCATTGGCTGCTTACTCAGTGGTATATATAGATATATACGTACTAGATATCAATCAGTTTCAATCGTGGACTTCATGAGTAAAACAGAAAGGGATTTTTTTCTCATCCCTGCCGACGCTTTGATTGTACATATCAGGGTCGGCAGGTTTTCAAAAAGGAAATTGCAGACACCTATTTCATAGTTTCAAGTGTGACATTCTTCCTGACTCCCCACTACATTTTTTCACCTCCTTTTTTCTTCTAATGGAGCATGGGAGTCCTTACCACTCCCAGTTCCCAGTTGCTGGACAGTGGAGGCTTTCTCCTGAGTGGGTTTTGATATTTACTTTCCAATACTCATGTTTATTCTCTCAACACTTCCCATGATGATGACAAAACCTTGTCGAAACGTTGTACATTTGCTGTTATGTTAAACTTATATTAAAGTTTTTCATCATTACCCATTCAAGCTTTCTCCAACCATTATTATTCCCCTGGATGATTTTGCCCAGGTGGACCATATTAGATAATAAAACTTCATCAATGGGTCACAACATCAAAATCCAACTTGAGTTACCCCTGGATTTTTTTACCCAGGTGGACCTCACTAGACAGTATAACTTCATCAATTGACAAAAACAGATAATCCTTCTTGATTTTCCCCTGGATGTTTTTGCCCAGGTGGATTTCAATAGACCAACTACCTTATTCAATTGATGTCATCAAATGACATTTCCCTTGGACGTTTTTGCTTGGGTGAACTGCTTCAGACAATTTCCTTAATCTATTGATATCTTCATGTATACATCACATGGTCCTCATTCTCCAGCCACATGTTATTCCATTTTTCACACTGTTACAATATCAGACACAATCCTGTGAAAAATGGTAAATATGTTCTTCTGTACATCCAGCACCACCATCTCTTGTCTAGAGCCGTAAATATTATTATTGTATTCAGTTGTGCTTGTTTTTTCCATTCCACCCATTTTGTGTTACTTTCCTGTTTCCTGGGCAAAGTGTATACCTGTTCCAGAAGTAGTGAGGTACCCAACTGGTGTGCTTCATTTTCATCTCGTAGCACACCCGTTCATTCTCAGCAGTGGATATCCACTTGGTTTGATATTTGTATGCCTAAACTGGCCACTTCACCTTTGCAATGTGGGATTATAACTTTGTGTGAGGGGAGGTAGGACTGGAAGTTAACATTTTCTTATGCTGAAAATGTATTTCTGATAGGTACTTACCTACTCTCAGACAATTTCCTCCCCACTGCCAGTGTTTTTATGTTAATAACTGCCAATTCTTGAAAGTGAGGATTGAGCGAGAATAGCAGAGGAAACTAGCTGTGCCAATATAGATGGAGCAATACTATTGGTGGAGAGTAGTCACATGATATGTACATGTTCAGAAATGATGCAAATCTGATGGGTTATAAAGACTGGTGCACTGACAGCAAAAAATATTTTTTAATAATGTTTAGAGGGCAAACAAGGATCAAGATAGTTTTGTGTTTGTTAAATTTATTTCTGGATTTTTGTTTGTGGTGCTATTCAATAGATAACACCATATTGTATTTTTTATTTCAGTCACATACATAGATATATATACATACTATGTCCATAATAGTAAGATATGTGCAGCTAAGTCAGAGTCTATGTCATGACCTTTTTATGTGTTACATTCCAAATTTAATTAAACAACTTTATTACCAATGTATGTTAATAAACTTGACATTAAAACACAGTCTATAATTCAAAGTTTTAATATTATCTACTTTTTGATTTCTTAATTTCAAAATAAAATATTTCTATATATTCTTAATATTGACTTGTGTGTATCATATCATACATCTTTCTTTTGATTCTGTTTTTTTGGTTTTCTCCATTCCCTTCTGATACTTTTAGATATGCCAACAATCAAACAGAAACTATAAATACTGACAGACCAGAAGATAAAAGTTAACATTTTTTTTTACACTGAAATGTATTTTCAGTAGGTACTTACCTCCTGTCTTATAAAAAATAAAAAGCTTAAGAGAGGAAAAATCAAGCCTCACTCTAACAGCAACAGAGTTATTTCAAATTGTGAATTTTCTTTTTATTAAAATTAAATTAATCTGGTCATATTTGTCACTAACATGCTTCTATATTTCTTTATATTTTAGTATAAGTTGATTCTATGTACATGTATATTATACATCTAAAATATAAACGCTCTCTCTATGTACTCAAACTATAAGTTTGGCCAAATGGCTTTCCAAGGACAAGGAAATCACTTACAGCTGTTTCAGTTAAGAATAAAATAATAATTAACTCTACTAGCAGAAATATCACCCTAAGGGCAGATGTTTGCGCTAGTAATTACAAATCATAGTTTTCATACTTCATTGAAAAAGATTTAGTAAAAGTGAACATTTTCTAAAAAAGAATTTTTCTGGGAAGTACTGCAAGGGAAAAGTGTTTGGATTGTGCTGATATAAACTGCATTGTTTTTATATATTAAAAAGTGATACCCTTTATTGTGAGGAGAATACTTTTATTTAAAAATGTGTTCCGTGAAAAAAGAAATGGTTGTTGCACATACTGTAGTTATTTTTCTAATTGTCTGAATCTTGAATACCCAATGCTACACCTATATTATTATATGTGTAAGACAAGCTTCCTTTTTGTCAGAAATGCAAGAATATATTGGGTAGCATTTAGAAGCTTTTAGATCATCAATGGAAGTTATTAAAGTTTTGTAAGTTGATATTGAAAAAAACAACATAATTTTGCAAAACTTCATTACAATTTTTTTCAGTATGTGTTAGGTCTTTTTCTTTAACAATTTCAGAAAAAAAATCTTGAAAAGTTTATGAGAAAATTTTGATAGTTTAAATTCACTAGTCTAAATTAACCTGCTCATTTAGTATTTTTACTGTAATAGATGTCTACACCAAAATTTAATATCCATATAGTTATTAATTTAACAGTTTGAACATAAAATGATAACGAAGGAAACAGCTGAAACCTTAAAATTAAGTTTAAGTGGAAGAGAATATTTATCTTGTGAAACATACCATGTAAAAATACTTGTTTTGTTTTCATGAACAAACAGCAACTGGAGTTATTATTTTTTGTCAATATTATAATTGAATGAGATCATAAAATAGTTCCCAATTAATATTTGATTGCATGGATGTTTAATCAGCTACTTATATGTGAATTATGTTTTGTGTAAGTAGAATGTAAATTCTGAAAGGAAGCTGTAATTATTTAGAAATATTTTTAAAACCATTAATTTTTTTTTCTACTGTTTTAGGCACGAAATTCCAGTGTTAGCTGCTCCTCTGAAAATCATTCATCAATCGGATGACTTGGTCATAATTGATAAACCACCATCAATTCCTGTTCGTAAAAATTTCTTATGTTCATTTCCAAATGAGAATTTTCTACCAAATAGCATATTTCTGACTTTTTAATCTAAGGTTGTTCACAAGATTTGCAGTAACTTGGGGAGAAAACACCCTCAAAATTAAGATTTCATTAGGAAGTGCTGCTGTATTGCAGTTTCAAACAACAATGATGTGTTGTTTATTTATCAATTTTTTTAAGATGCATGAAAAAGCAATGCATAAGTGCACATGGACACAAATATCCTGCTAAAACTACAAGTCATGACCAGCATTCAAAATTTAGGTGTAAGAAATATAGGTTAAAAAATAGGTTTATATTATTTTGAATATAGACAGATTATTTTATTGACTCAAATTGCAAAAAATAAAATGGAAATAAATACAACAGTTTTTCTAGTTTCTGAAAAAAAAAGATTTAAATTAAAAAAACTTATTACTGCTTAATTACCAACCCCAAATTTCCTTTATTAAATTGTGTTTTCATGTTGTGAAAACATTTGATACAGAAAAGTGAAGTCTCCCATTTTCAAAAATCTTTACATGTTGGCATCTGGAGGGAGAAGTGACCTCTCCCTGTAATGTTTGGGAACCTGGCTTGATCTCTGAATATTTTACCTTGTTTGTTGTAGCTGGTGTAAAGTTGTATCTGATTTTTTGCAGCAACTGTATGTTTTGTATTTGATTTGCTGTAGCTACTGTAGTATTGTTCCTCATTTCTTGCAGCTACTGTACTTTTGTAACTTATTTGCTGTATCTACTTTAGTATTTTACCTTACTTTCTGAGGGTCATATAGTGTTGTGCCTTTAATATTTGCTCTAGCTTTTGTAGTGTTGTAAGATATCTCTTGAATAATCTATTTACAAGAAATGAATACTTGTATCTTTCTGCTGAAAACTGTTAAATGAGTCAAGTTGAGTGTAAAGCCAGTGTTAAAAGTATGAGAACAGAGACTGAACTAAGTTTAACAAAAACCCATACTGTTTTGTTAATAAGTTTTTCTGGTGTTCAAAGTAGTTAAGTGCAACAAGTTCTGACATTTGACTGCACAGCATGATTACTCCTGCAGGTTCATCCATGTGGGCGGTACAGACATAACTCTATAGCATTTATTCTGGGGAAGGAATACAATTTGAAGAATTTGAATAGTAAGTAGCAATTTTATTTTATGTAATGGTTTTAGAGCAAATAATAAAGACTTAAGATCTCGCTTCTCCTACAGTGTTTATCTTTAAAAGTAATGATGAGCTTATGTTAACAGTTTTGTCTTAACAACTTAAATGAGTTTGCTAAAAAACTTTATATACTGTATAAATTATATAAGCTAAGACTAAGATGTTTATGACCTTTAGTTCAAATCCTTTAAAAGTTTGAATTATTAAGTTCCACTTTGTAGTTAATGGCTGAATAGTTCTTAAGCTACTGCCCCCAGGAACTTAAAGTCAGCGCCATAACAATTGTATCAGGAGAAAAAAGGTTAATGCCAACACAGTTATAAATAAAGAGGAAATCACCATCTAATCTCAAACTCTAGTTGAATATGAATTACAAGAAGATAGTCTAACTCAACAAGAACTCCTCAAGAAACATCATTAATAACTTGGAACAGAAACAGCCAAACAACAAGGAGTACACCACAGCACTGAATTTTTAAAATTTTGTTTTCCTGCTTGATAAGCAATCTTGAATATGCACTTTGAAGATAAATCTGCTTAACCCTATTGCAAGACTCATTTACATGACCTTGTATGTAACCATGGTGGTATACATGCTATAACTCTGAAAGTACTTAATCTACCTTCACAAAATTTGGCAAGCTTTCAGTAAACATTAAAGGTCTTTTGTAGAGAAAAAATCAGAATTTTTAAGTATATTTACAAGAACTTTGTCCATAATTATATGGAGCCACAGTGTTGACTGTTCTAAGTGCAAAATGATTTTCATGTTAAGACTAAAATACCTATATTCTTCTGAAAATTTGCAAATTTCATTTGCATAATCCCCAAAACCTTCTAAATATACACATCAAATGTTTTTTTTTTTTCTCAAAAAACTTTATCTGTTATTTTATATACTATAACTATATACAGGGCCAGTCGATTTGACTGACCTCATATCTACCATAAAAAATTAGGAAATAATTCTAAATTACCCTTTTGTCTTTCTGGAATCACTGTAAATTGTAATAGGAAACCATAATTATTTATCCTAACTAATAACCCTCCCACACAAGTTGTAAATCACTTGGCAAACGTGCAACTTATTTTACTGTATTGAATTACATAATGCACACGCTGCTCACAAACTTACCTCGTGAAGAATTATTATTATTATAATTATCTTACCTAATCTAACCTTGTGTCACATAATAAATAGTTAAAAGAATGTACATGAAAAACAAGATATAATAGTTATCTGGGTCTTCTTATATTTTGCTGTTAACTTTTAATGAAACTTAAGCCTTCTTTTTTATACTAATGGTACTACAATACTAAGTAAGTTTTTATTTACCGTATTTTTCAGAATATAAGATGCACCGGTGTATAAGACGTACCCTTATTTTGAAGACAAAGTTTTGGGGAAAAAAAAGCTACAATTGTATTTGAAAGATTTTTATTGAACAAAAATTCAATTTGATACTTAAAAAATTAGTATATATTGTTCTAAACACAAAAGAGCTCGAAACAAGAAAATAAGAAAATACCGTAAATCAAAAAAAGGTTTACTGTTATTTAGTTTGGTCCAAAACCTACAAAATCTTCATTGTTTTCACT